TAAAAAATCTGAAGCTCTTATGTTTAATAGTTTTTAAGTTACAAGCATTTTTGTATGTCCAGACGGCCCCTTTTTAGATGGAGCCCCCTTCTCAAATATTGTAAAACCCTTGGCTGGGTTTTACAATAATAAACAGTACGAAAACAATATGACCCACTTTGCATGTGGGGATCATAATCATGACGGATACGATTTAATCATCAGGATTATAAATAGATCAATGGATTTACATCTGAATTACCACTAAATAATTACGACTAAATATCTTTAAGAGATTTGTCTTTGAGATCATAATCCACAATGGAAGGGAGATGAGCCACATTTTAGCTGCTCCGACGACTGAAAAYGCAATGACTTGGTTAACGTTTTCACAAGGACAGATTTCTGACGTGAATATAATCACAGAGGAGCTTCTAAATATAACTGGGACGTCAGTTTGGATAAGACAACGGGCCGTTTTTTGGGGGCTCTCATCGTTGTGAGCAAAACAAAAAGAATGTTGTGCATCACCGCTGAACTGAAGTGACAAGAAACAAACCCAGATACAGAAAACCCAAACTCTGTCTATGTGTCCAAACATGAGAACAGTAGCTTCATGTGAACAGTTTWAATCCTAACTTTAATTACCAGCAAGTGCAATTTGCAGATCTGTGTCTGTGCTGTGATTAGTAGATGAAGCTCCAGTTGTTTAAGCTTTTCAAATGATGAGCCACACAGAACCACACAATACGGGAACTTCAGCATCTTCATTTTGATACAAGGAGGTATGTTTATATGATAAATAAAAGGGGCTAAAATTGGGGGGGGGGTCTACTAAGAAATGTGAGTATTTTATTTAATAAAGGCAGGTAATTATTTTTTATCATAAAGGTCTATAATGTGTTGTGGCTCAGACATGTTWTTGCTGCAGGCAGGGATGACCTGTTCTGCTCCTCAGTGCTGCAGAAACCACTCTGACTCTAACGAAAGGAGTTCCAGGTTCATCAGTGTRTTGTGCAAAGGTAGCGCTGTGGTGGCCATTATTCGGAACAGTTTGGAAACGTTTCTTCTTCCTACGCTCGGCTCCAAGGTTTCAGAGCATTCTGCAGCTCAGAGCCAGCTTCATCTGTTTATTCAGTTTTTTTTTTTTTTTTTTGAGCCACCGCTGACTCGGATGCTGCTGCGCCAACAGATGGCTGCAGAGAATGTTGCCAGAGACTCACAGAGAATATGCAACATCTGTTGTCTAGGTGAACACCCAGGTATTTGAAGTCTTCCACTGCTTTCACCTCTCCCCTCGGAAAACAGAATTTATTATCGCTCACAACGGCCACTACAGAGAAGCGACTTTACCAAGCACAAACAAGATGGTAGTCACAGCTAACTGAACTTACGCAAAATTAGCTATAACTCATACAATGTTCAAAAATTCCATTGGATTTTATTTATTAATTTTTTTACCTTTTAAAAAACAAAAAAAGCATGTTTTTGTGTTTCTTGTTTCCCTCTCCTCATCCCTAATCAGTGTCGGAGCCAGGCATTTTTCTCAGGGGTGGCCAGACGGGGACCACTACTCACACAGGGGTGGCCAGGAAAATTACATCATTTTTTACTTGAAAGTTTCTGTGGATCTTTGTGTTTTGGTCATTTCCTTATGTCCTTATACAGGCAGTGACTGCCTTATAAACATGGGCGTCAGAACCATTTTAAAAGTGTGGGGACACACTGTTGGGGGGTCTGGGGAACCTCCCCCACAAAATTTTGAATGAAATAGATGTCATTTCCAGCGTTCTGGTGTATTTTACCAGGTTGTTTAACATACTTTTACCTACATAAATAAACACTTTAATTAATAATTATTTCAGAGACATATTCTTCATTAAACTAGTTTCATTATCCTGTTTTTAAACTCACTGCTTCAGCTGAGATAAGGCTAATTAATGCGTCACAATTTATCATATCCAATGACTTTAGGGGTGCCTTTCACTTTCATATTGTTTATTGATTTATTTTTAATTTTAATACGTCATTGTGCCAAATAATTATGACCTTCAACTGCACGTTTAAAATTAATATTAATAAATTTACCCAAAGAACAGGTGCAATATTGATAATCACCAACAGTGAATTTAAAGGGGCATTTCACTTTTTCTTTAGTGATAGGTCTACTCCTAACCAAAAGGGGCAGAGCATCATGCAGCCTTCATAACATAAAATGACACTGTGATATGGTGACAAAAAACAAACAAAAAACAAACAAACAAAAAACATTTGTCACCATAAGTCAAATTATACAGGCATATGTTCTGTTTATAAAGAAAACAATCACTTCTTTGTCACTTCTTTGAGTTTGGTGATGTTTCAAACTGTTAAACACTGCCACCAACTGTTCAGGAGGATTATTACACCCCTAAAGGTTGTTTCACTGTGGAAGGGGTGTGTACAGCAGGGTGGCCAATGGGGTGGCCAAAGATTTGTCTGTGGTGGCCATGGTCACCCCTGGCCACCCCCGGCTCCTCTCCTGTCCCTAATTGCGTTTACTTCCAGTCCTTGATTACCATGTAGCACCATTTAAAAATCTGATGTTACAAAAAAATCTGATGTTACAGCTGCAGGTTTGTTTGAGCTGTGAGTCAAATCTCTCAAGAAWTGAAACCCTGTGAATGTTATAGCTGATGGAAATATTCTGTTTTGTTTCTGTCTTCTTTTGTCTCTAGCCATGGGAGTGCTCATGTCAAAAAAACAGCAGGTGGAGAAGGTCCAGAAATGCAGCGCCGTCGTCTCGGCCTTCCAGGCAGGCCTGAAGGACCGCCCGGCCAAGCAGGTGGAAGGAGAGTCAGAGGAACACGAAGGGCCCGCCAAATCCTCGGGCGACTCCACCGAGAAAACCACCGAGGACGTGAAGCAGGAGGAGACGGAAAACAGCGGCGGCCCGTCGACCTCCCAGCAGGCTCCAGCTCCGGTCAGGGACGAATGCAAAGTCAACCAGGAGGCCTGGTCGAGGTTACGGGACGGCAAGGGGGTGGAGCCTGAGGACCTGGACAAGAGCCATCAGCTCACGCCTCCTGCTTTTGTGCGACCGAAACGAGAACCTGATGATGACCAGCCTGTTGAGGTGGAACTGAACACGAAAGAGCAGGTATGATCAGAGAAAAACCCATTTAATGAGTGTCATGGTTTCTGAAAACTTTTTGCATACAAATAAAGGTACCATTTTACAATAAGGCTCCTTTTAAACATGACTTACAGTATAAATAGTTCATAGAAAGGTCATTAATTAATCTGTAAGCACATTATAAAGCATTAATAAGTGTTTATTATGCATTAATTAAGGATGACAAAGAGACAAAATTGTCCAGTTTCTTGCCAAATAGTGATCCAAATCTGCTCATATTGCATCTAATGTGCTATATTCAACATTTAAAACTAGATTATTACCTTGTAAGTATTGGAAACACATATTTTACATGTATTGTTCCGTATTTCTGCATTATACATGTCCACAATTATCAAAGGAGACAGTAGACAGTACTGTCAGTAGTAAAACTAGACAATTTATTAATGACTAATAGTGTCATTAGGGAGTCTCATTGTAAAGTGGTACCTAAATAAAAGTTTCTCAACTTTCTGGAGAACTTTTTATTACAATCACAAACTTCTTAACCTTGAGTTTTGAGTTAACTGCAGATCTTGATTTTCATTTTATTTTATTTTTTTCCTGATGAGAAGGTTTTCTAAAAAAGGCTTTACATTCATCTGCTTTAGTTCTCCAGTGTCCTGTGTGCTGGGCAGCTGCACCAAGGGGCCTATATTTCATATTCAAGGATAACATTTATTGTTTCATTGATTTTTAGGACTGTAATAAAAAGGAACTCTCTTCGCCTTAGCTGGTGCAATAAATATTGTGTGCTCTATTAACAATTTAGCGGACTTATTGCCAGTGGAATGAAGCTGTTGAGCAATTTCTTCTACCAGAAGTCAGGAGATATGGTTAATTATCTTTGGGACCATGTTTGAGGAGTTAAAATTAAGAAGTTATGGATTAAGATTATGATCTAACATTAGCAGGAGGTTTAGTTTTATTGAAATGTGCACACACTCTGTGCTTCTGTTTCTTTACTTTGCAATTTTACAAAATCAAACACAAATTCCAGTTTTCTAGGCAAAATATTTCTTATTTATACATCCAGTGGGAATTTTGTATTTTTGCACACTTAACTCCCCACAATAGTTGACTTTCCAAAGCCTACCGGTACTATGAATTGCCAGCTTCTGGGAGGATAGAGAAGACTCTAAAACATGTCAAAGTCAAGGCCCGCAGGCCAGATGTGGCCTGTCACAACTTTTTATGTGGCCCGCGAGGGCTTCAAATATGTTTTCATGTTTTATTTTAAGCAAAAGCTGCTTTAAAGCCAGCATTAACAATAAACTACATATTCCATAATGCATGTCATTTTTACCCRCAAAGTGACGGCATCCCACCAGTATGTAGAGGTGCCCAGGGCTTAAAATTAGCTGGTAGCTTAGTAGCTTAGTTGTACTGGGAAGTGGGAATTTCTCACTTAAAAGTAATAAAACACTTATTACTTTTACTTTTAATAGTATTTCTGTATTATTTATTTTACATTTAGTCAGTGTTTATAAGAAATATCAAAACACTCTTTCTATGCACGAAACACCACATAGAGCTCAGTTATTCTTTATTAGTGCTGCTCAGACATAATGAAATGAGGAACATTACATTTTGTGTTTAGTCAATGTTAAACTCGAAACATCAAAATTAGTTAAAAACTGGCCCTTTAAGGACCACCATGGTGGTTATGTGGTCCTTGGTGAAAATGAGTTTGAGACCCCTGCTCTAAAATATCAAATAATCTCTATGGTAGCTGTAGCACATGATGTCGTTTTCTCCTGTCAGCCGTTATATTAAAGCAGTCCAGGCTTCAAAGATGAGGAAATATGAGTTATTTTTTCTAAAAACCCTTTTTTTCTATTTATTTTTGTCACACTACATGTGATATGCTGTTGATGTTGTTGTGAGAGTTTTTCACCCCAAGCATATTGTGGGCGGGCTGCTTCAGCGGGCTTTGAGTTGACTATTTCTAGAGCAAATCTAACAGAGGAGGGAGTTACAGCAACAGCAGCAACTTTAGTACTTTAGAAAATGTATACAGTCTTGAAGCTCACTGTGCAGTGGCACGATTAAAAGAAAAACTAAATCTCTCATTCAACAGTAGAATGTACTTATTTCTACATAGTAGAAAATAAAAGATTTCAATTACAATTTAAAAAAAACCAACAAAAAAAAACATGTTACAGTAGTAGCTTTGTTTACATGAACACAAGTAATCGGAATAAGTGGCCAGTTGCAATAAAACTGCATCACGTACACACCCCAATCAGAATATTTCAATTGGAATAAATTTGTAACCCAAATGAGAGGGGTGGTTTATGCCAACTGATAATGTAAACAACATGCATGCAATCACTTACCTGACTGTGCAAAAGTGCCATCTATCTTGTTAGAAAATTAGCCCAAAAATCAGGATTCATACATTTTTACAGCAAAACATGGTTCAATGTAGAAAACACACAAACAGCAAACATTGATATCAAATAGAAAAAAAATCATCCAATAATGTTTTTTTTAACTTGTTTTTCCTTCCCTGGTCACCTGGAACTGGTGCTTTTCTCAGTCAGTGTGTAAACAGTGGGGAAAATCCTGGACATGTAGCACAACCATCACTGGGCCATATGGAGACAAAAAAAATCACGTTCTCATCCACGCCTAGGGACAGCTTTGAGAGGCAGATTACTGCAACAAGCACGTTTTTAGTTTGTGAGAAGAAAACCAGAGTACTCAAAGAGAACCCACACATGCAAACTTTACACAAAAAGGGCAGAAGGCGAACCCGCAACCTTCCTGCTGTGAGGCAACAGTAGTAACCACTGCACCACTGTGCCAAATCATATCTCTTGTGGTAAAATAGTCACCTTTTAGAAAACCCCACGTTTCTTAAAAACTTCTCTGTTCGTTTTTGGGTACCTTCAGGTATTTGTAGGTCGCCTACATGTCTGGCTTTTTCATCTCATAACCACTGAGATGATCTTCATCCTTGACAGCTGTAATCCAACATTTCATTTTCCCAAACGCAAGATGAAACATGGACTCTGAGCATCTCTCGACTGACGTTCTCCCCACTGAGTTGATAAACTGAATAAATTCTTTCATACATCATGCAGTTTGATGGGTGCAGTGACTCACAGGCTTCAAAGGTACTCACTGGCCCATATTTTTATATTGATTAATGTGGTGTGACAGTTTCTCATGCAATGACACTTTAGGGCTTTGAAGGTCAAGCAAATCCAATAGTACAGTCTTCGGGTGCAGCAATACATGTACCTGTATCGAACTGTTCAATACAGTGTTTTAGGTTCAATACAAACTATATATGGAACAATACAGATTTAAAATATTAATTTTGTTAACTTGTCTTCTGAAGATGCTCTGTGTTGAAGGATCAGTGGATCTGTATTCAACTACTCCACCTAAGCTGCATTGTAGAGTGCAGATCCACTGAAAAACTTGCTGTTTCAGCAACATTTAATTTAAAAATTTTACTTTTGAGGTTCAACTAAAGTCAATAATAAATTTCAATAAATTACAAGTTAAGAAGGGCATCATGGATTTTCTGTATTTTTGCACCCGTATATGCACTGAAAATGCTTCCAGGCACATACTGTAGTTCAGTTTTATACCACATTCAAGTAACTATGTTACCCTTACTTGTTATGAAAAAAACTGTATGAATCAAAAATGGTAAATGGTAAATGCAAATGCAAATAAATAATTTGACTTTGCATCATAGCCCATCTAAATGCCTCAAAATTGACTTCTGTCAGTTTTTTAAGATCCTAATAATGTTTCTGACTCTTCCCACTTTAGCACATATTCACAACAATTATTTAGGGGAGGGGTGCTCTTTGGGGTGGAAGCTTGAGTGGGGACTGAGATCCAGGGAGGAGCTATGGACACATAGGCGGAGCTTTGTACCAGCAACTGTTCAGGCAGTTCCACATGGATACCACAGGAGATTCAAGGATTTCTCAAACATGCATGGAGTTAAAGCAACCTTTGGGTATGTTTTTGATGAGGAAATTATATTATAACATGATATAAAGCTCCAAAAAGTAAATTTTGCATACCACTCTATTTAAAATTCTAAAAAAATAATAATAATCAGAGTTTTTGTTGGATTTAGAAATTGTGCCCACTAGTTCATTATCCCCTATCACAAATAATTTTGCTTATTTTTGCAGCAGTTCAAATATCAAGCTCCAATGTCATTTTAGAATAAATGAATAATTCATAAAATCGTGTAGTTTTTATGTGTAGAGTCCTACAATCTGAAGTTCCTCCAGGACAGGTTGCCTAATAACAAGAGATGTTACTGCCTTATTTAAATTATATTCATTCTTTGCCCTCTTCTTGACACCCAGCTTTTAACTTTCCCTTCAAACAAGGTCTTTTGGGAGAATTATAAACACTTGTCTGCGAGAATACTTGGAAATCATGCATAATCCAGCCAGAGTAAGAAGGAACAAAAAGCAGTAATTACTTCTAATACATTTTCAGCACTACATTGACTAATGGAAATTGAAGTCAGTGAGATTACTTTAGATGCAATATTTTGCAGACAAAAAAGAAAAAAGAGAGAGTTTTATTAGACATCTGAATAATCGTATTATTCACCCTTTGAATTGGGGAGAAACTCCAACATGGAAACGGCACCTTGTAATTTGGGGTTTCTGCTTTGTCTAGCCRCCCAGCGACGAGATGTGTGACGTGTGCGAGGTGTGGACGGCCGATGACTTGTACCCGTGTAAGATTTGCACACGGGTGTTCCATGACGGCTGTCTGCGGGAGCTGGGCTACCTGCGTGCCGAGGCCTTGCAGGAGATGAGAGATACAGCCCACAATGTCACCGGCTGGAGCTGCTACTATTGTGTGAGTCAGCAGCTGTTGGACGCTAAACATACAGCTTCTTCAAATACAAAGGTGGAAAGTGGATTCACGAACAGATATTGATGTATGGTGGGTTGTTTTTGGCATTGATTATTTAATATTTTGGGAGTTTTTGCACTGCAGGCATATATTTTTCAAAATTATCTGATTTTTTTTTGGTTTGTGCATTTTTTACTTTGATAATTTAGAAAAAAAATCTGTTTTTCTTGTTTTTTTGTCATTAAAAGAGCTTTATGTAAGATGCATTGAGCTTTTTTTTTCGATGCAAAAAGACAGGTTAAATGTATGTTATTGTGACAAGTGGCATACAGCAGTATACATACAGTATGTGCATTTGTCCTTTCCTTTCAGACATATATATATATATGATGCAGCACATCCCAATACTGTAGTTCAGTCAGGTACGCTAAAAAGGATTTGTTGAATTCACTTGATCAAGTTAGGTCAAGTGGTTCCACTCAACTGAGTTGAATAAATGGAACAAGGCTTACACAAGACAAGTACATCTGTTTACATTTAGTTAATCGGTTTGGTGGATGGAACCAGCTGACATAAATTGATTAAATAAATTCAACTCTTCATTTTTTAGAGTGTAGTAAAGAAATGAGAGACAAGGCTGTTGAAACATCAATATATGAGTCCTGACTGTGTGTTTGAACTCAGTGAGATAAAGATGGAGATCTCTTGAGCAATTATCTGTCTCAACAAATAGAGCTAACATTCTGTCACAAACTGTTACAGCTGAAACTCAACTAAAGTGAGGCGAGATTCTCAACACACCCATTTCTTATTATGAACTCAGGCTAAAAGAGCATAACTCTCTGGCGATAATCACCCTGTGAGCGGATGATACAATCTGCTTGTGTCGAACATAAACAGCTGCAGTGGTTTTGTTAGAGCTCTATTCAAACTTGACGCTCCCCGCCCCCAAGAAGCAAATTCACCATCCCAACCCTCATGAGGGTTTTGGATTATGACTGAAAGAACAAGACCCTGGATACAAGCAGCTGAAATGAGCTTCCTCTGTAGGGGGACTGGACTCAGCATTAGAGATAAGGTGAGAAACCCAGTCTTCTGGTCGGAGCTTAAATCAGAGCAGCTGGTTCTCCACATTAAAAGGAGTCAGTTGAGGTGGTTCAGACATCTTATTAGATCCATCCTGGGCAGTTTTCCAGGCATGTCCCACTGAGAGGAGACCCTGAGGCAGATCCACAATTCACTGGAGGCTTTGTATATTCTCTCTGGCCTCAGAATGCCTTAGGATTCCCCGGGAGGTGAGAGTGTTACTAGGGAGAAGTATTTCTGGATCTCCCTCCTGGACCTGTTGCCTCCACGACCCGACCATGGATAAGCAGAAAATGGATAGATAGTTGGATGGATATATGTACTTTGAGAACAGTTTTTAGTACAAAGCTTTTACAAATTTGTAAATCCTTTAGGGGCAATTAAAATACAAAGATGGTTTTCCACACAGTACAGTAAAGAAATCATGTCTGTGTTTTTTCATTTAGTAGTTAAATCCAGCTAATTTTCCCAGCAAATAAAATAAAATAAAATAAAATACATTAAACTGCAGTATTTTTTTCTAAAACATCCACATTGTTAGAGTGGATCATCCACTTCTACAGGACACAGAAAACTGCCTCTGTTTCCATTATCTGCAGAGTCCATGCAGTCTGACTCCTCTCGATAAAGACTCTCCCTCCCCATGAAACACATCTCAACCATTGATCATTGCATAACTCAAATATTGTGTGTGTGTGTTCCTCTGTGTCTGCCTTTGTAAGAACATGTATTGGCAGTCTACTATTCTTGTGAGGACGTTTTGTATGGTCCTCACAAGAGACCACCAAATTTGTGGGTCAATGGTTAGGTCTAGGTATACAGTATACAGGTGCTAGTCATAAAATTAGAATATCATGAAAAAGTAGATTTATTTCAGTAATTC